AGTGACCGAAGCATGTTTCCTGAATGCAAATTCTTAGCTTTGCCTAGCAGCTAACGTATTCAACGCGGGGATAAGAATGCAGCAAAATGCGCTACGGTGTATTTTGGCAGGAACTGATTAATAATACAGTAGGAATATCAACTAACCAGTGTTTTCCTCCAGTGAAAATCATATCAAGGAAACGCAGAAAAGTGAATACACCAAATGAAGGCGCGAAGGATGTAGCGAGTAGTGACGTCAACAATCCAGCAGTACCGATGAGCAGAATCTGAATCATTGGTTACTAAAATCATGCAAACTAGCAGAATAGTCATCTCACGGCCACTCCATCAATGGTCCTCCAAAGCCTTTCCTATACAAGCAATACACGCTCAAAATCGCAGAATGGCTCACCTTTTTTCTGCCATAGATATCTGCAAGGTTTCCGGCAACTATGGCGCCAATCATTAAGCCAACATTCTGCAACGTCGTGCCGAGCTTCACAAATTCGGTTGGCACTTCAAACTGCAATATTTTTGTCCCGTTTTTTCTTTTTGAATTTCTCTTTCATTCATTCTTATGCTCACTCTACGAATACTCCGACGTCCTTCAAAAATCTACAACTGCGGCAGTGATTTTTTCTTTTTTTTACCAAGCGATATGACAAGCGCTTTTTGGATTTCTTTTGCTTCCTACTGCTTCTTTTCGTCCATAGTAAATTTCTAATTCGTTCTACAAATCTACACGATTCTTGTGTTTTTCATTTAAGCAAATGAAGCTGTGTAATTCAGCCCTACTACTACGAACGCCAGGAAGCTCAGATTTTGAAAGTAACGTCTTCAACTATATGAGAAGCCAGAATTCCAAAAATCACATCTACTTTTTATATTTTGACTTCCTGCCTAAATTCGCGTTAATTTTATAAATAGAGAATAGGGAAAATACAAACCGGACTTTCACCAGAAATACCTCATCGGCCACTTCAAGAGCGATAATATGAAATTAAGTTCCGAAATTCCCTATATTCTAGGCCGTAGTCTCAGGGCCAAATCCCGGATAGTTTTATGACTCATTAAGTAAGGATGTAGCTATCATATAATTTGAAGCAAATAGCTAAACTGATTTTAATCAGTAAACTGATCACGACAGAAATTATATGTGCTTTCTCATTAATCAACTGGACATTTGCAAAA